CTGTTAATGGGGATGTCACAGCCACTGGAGAGCAACTGTTAATGGGGGTCTCACTGTGACTGGAAGGGGTCACTTGTTATTGAGCAAAAAATGGGGGATGGTGTTTCATTGCCAGTGATTGGGTGAAAGTGAGATGCCAGCATTGGCTCAGGGTTTACAAATGTCTCATAATTGCTCTCTTAACAACAGGAACCCTACAATGAGGACACTGGCTGTTCCATTAGAGACAGCAGCACATTGATAACTAAAGAACCTGCCCTCCCCTTCTGTCTCTTTCATGGCTATTTTATTTCACGTGTGGGACGTGGGAATCACTGCATAGGCCAGCATTTAATGCATCTCCCTAGTTGCCTCTTGAGAAGGTGGTGGTGATCTGTCTTCTTGAACTGCTGTAGTCCATGTGCTGTAGGTAGACCCACAATGCCTTAGTGAGACAATTCGAGGATTTTGACTCAGCGACAGTGAAAGAACAGTGATATATTTCCAAGTCAGAATGGTGAGTGACTTGGAGAGGAACTTGCAGGGGATGGTGTTCCCATATATCTGCTGCCCTTGTCCTTCTAGATGGAAGTGGTCGTGGGTTTGGAAGGCTCTTTCTCTGTATATACTCTGTTGTCATGACTTTGGGATGGCTACTTTATAGCCAACAACATACTTTCAAAATGTAGTGAAACTCAGTAAACAATTTTCACACAGCAAGATCCTATAAAGAGCAGTGTGACAATGACTAGACCACTTTTTTGTGGGATAAATTTCTAGGGGATTTGTTTTTAGGGGATAAGTATTGGCCAGTACCTTGGGGATAACTGCCTCATATGGGGTCTCTAACACCTCAGATGGTGAAGGGGACTTGATTTAACATCTGAACTAATAACTACAGCTCTGAGAGTAGAGCACATCCTCAGTACAGGACTGCCAGACTAAACCTTTGCACTCAAGTCAAAATGGCAAACTCTCCCACCTCCCAAATGATTCGTACCTGTAAAACAAATAGAGAGTGCCTTGGATAGGAACTTGCAGGGGACAGTGTTCCCATGTATATTCTGCCTTTGTCCTTCTAGATGGTGGTGATTGTGTATGTGGAAGGTGCTGTCTGCGGAGCCTTGGTGAATTTCTGCAGTGCATCTTGTAGATAGCACACACTGCTGCTACTGAGTGTTGGTGGAGGGAGTGAATGCTTGTAGATGTAGTGCCAATCAAGCGAGCTACTTTGTCCTGGATGGTGTCAAGCTTCTTGAGTGTTGTTGGGGCTGCACTCATCCAGGCAAGTGGGGAGTATTCCATCACACTCCTGATTTGTGCCTTACAGATGGTGGACAGGCTTTGGGGACTCAGGAGAGTGCCATGATTTAGGTAACAAAATGGGAGATACTTTGAAGGAGGGAAATTTAATGAGAGTTGTCTGGTTTGTACCCTGGACAGATGGCCATGTGTTCTTTGCTAAGCAGCTCCATTTTTCAGTGATCTGCTGTCAGTCTTTACTCCCTTTTCTCCCTGATCCTGTGCAGATACTGACTGTTACAATGCATACTGCCAGTAGATGGCACTAGAGGGGTGGATGCTGTCCTCTCTCAGCCCCTCACCTTCTGCAGCAAACATGTTTAAGACAGTGCTCAGCACAATTCAAAATGGTTTAAAAGATTCAAACGAATTAAAGATAAAATATGCCACCTAACAAGCCCTGTGGGTAGCTCAAAGAACTTTACAGCCACCTTTGAAATGCGTCACTGTACTGAGAGAGGAGACAGGACAGCAAATAGCACACAAGTTGAGCACTTGCAGTATTAATGGCTCAATGATCAATATTTGCACAGACACCAGGAGAATGCCCCTGTTGGTCTTCAAACCGTGGCCAAGGGAATGTTGTTTGTTCACCTGCACAGGCAGGCACGGCCTTGGTTTATAATATTCCTAAAGACAGTGCCTCTGACAATGCCACATTACCTTGGTAAGCCATTTTGTGGAGTAGGACTCAAACCCAGGGCTGCTCCTTGGCACCAGCCTCCACAACCTAAACAGACTGGGGCCCATCGAGCCTGGTTATTGGGACCTGATGTACTCCGCAGTCCCAGGCCCTGCACCCACAGGAGGAAATATCTGTTCCACACCCACCCTGCCAAGACCATTCAGGATCTAAAGGCTTTAGCCTTCTGGATATTTTTGATTTAACCTGTTCAGAGAAGTTATTAGACACCTCTTGAGCAAGTGGGACTTGAACTGAGGCCTCCTGGCTCAGAGATAGGGACACTACCACTGTGTCACAAGAGCTCTTCCCCGCCCCACAAACTCTGCTAAATTCCAGTGCAAACAAGCTTTCCTATAAGGCAACTTACTCATTCCAGGTATCAATCTAGCAAACATCTTCTAACCCACCTCCAATGCATTTACATCCTTTCAGAAGTACACATGGTATTCAAGATGTGGTCTCACTAATGCCCTATATAACTGAAGGAATCCATGATGATATCCTGTACCTGTACACTCGTGCTCCAGGTATGCTGTTACAGCACCCCCGTTCTCTCTCCCCACACTTAGCCACCTCCAGCGGACACCCCCATCCCAGGCCGCCATTCACCCTCATCCCCCAATCCCATCTTAGACACTTAGCAGCACTCCCCTCTCTATTCCCCCATCTCAGATCCCACAGACAGAATTCCCAAATCCAGTAAAAGGCTCTCAATCCCGTCCGCAACAATAGCACTCCCCCGCCCCCGTCATGAGCATTTAAGAACAGCTATGATTGGAGGAGAAGCTCCTTCCCATTCCCTTCCATCCAACTGATGGAAGCCACCTTTCTCTGGGGAATCTGCCAAATGAGGCCATTTGCAGATGGATGTGTTCACTGCCTGTGTATTTCCAGTGGTTTTGTGGTCCCAGCACTGATCCCTGCCACACCCCCCTAGTTATAGCTTGTTAACCTGGAAATGACCCATTTATCCCTGCCTTCCACTTCGTGTTAGCAAACCAATCCATTACTTGGCTGCTGTGCACCCCACCCCCCCACCACTTCATGTACTCAAAGATGAGCTTTGATATGGTACCATCTCAAGTATCCGTTGGAAATCCAAATGCACCACATCTACCAGTTTCCCCTCTACCCTCTGTCAGGTTTTGATAAAGTAACATTCAAATAGTGAGTTAAACAGGACTCCTCTTTCACAGAGTCACATTGAAAATCATGGTGGGATCAGGCAGAGGCAAAGTATCCTCTAAGAACCAACTTCATAACAGATTCCATGACAGATATTAGGTTATTCAAGGTTTTTGAGAGGATTTGTAGCTCGGGTTGTTGACTTGCTCACCGAACTGATAAGTACGTTTGCAGACATTTTGTCACCATGCTAGGTAACATCATTGGTGCGCCTCTGGTGAAGCGTCGATGTTTTGTCCCACTTGTTATTTATGTCTCGGTTTGCTGGGGTGGGTGGCATCACTTCCGGATTTGTTTCTTAGTGGTTGGTATATGGGGTCCAGCTCGACATGTTTGTTAATAGAGTTCCGGTTTGAGTGACAAGCCTCCAGGAATTCTCCTGTGTGTCTTTGCTTGGCTTGTCCTAGGATGGCTACGTTATCCCAGTCAAATTGGTGTCCCTCTTTTTCCATGTGTATTGAAATGAGTGATAGTTGGTCATGTCCCTTGGTAGCTCGTTGGTGTTGGTGAATCCTGATGGTTTGTTTCCTTCCAGTTTGCCCTATACAATGTTGTTGGCAGTCTTTGCATGGAATCTTGTAAATAACGTTAGTTCTGTTGGTTGTGGTTGTCAGATCCTTTATTCTCATAGGTAACTGTTGTGGTGAAGCTGTCGGTTTGTAGGCCACCATGATTCCTAGGGGACGGAATAATCTGGTGGTCATTTCAGATACGTCCATAATGCATGGAAGGGTGACAAGTGTCTCTGGAGGTGTTGTCTCTTCCTGTTGTGGTCTGTTGTGTGGGTATTGATGGACTACACTTTTCAGGTAACTGTTGTTTCTAAAGACGCTGTGCAGGTATTCTTCCTCAGCTTTGCGTAGCTCCGGGGTGCTGCAGCTTGCTCGAACAGTGTTTAGACACAGCTCTGTTTGTGGATATTGGGTGATTGCTATTGTAGCTGAGTACCTGATCCATATGGGTGGCCTTCCTGTGTACGCTGGTCTGGAGCTCACTGTTGGCTTTATATTTGATCATTATGTGCAGGAAGGGAAGTCTGTTGTTGTTGTCCTCTTCCCTGGAGAATTTTATGCCAGTGAAGATGTTGTTTATGAGTAGATGGGTTTCTTCCAGTTTAGTGTGTTCAATTACGACAAAGGTGTCATCCACGTAGTGGATCTGTAGTTTTGGTTGGATAGTGGGAAGGGCTGTCCTTTCCAGTCTTTGCATTACGGCTTCTGCTATTAATCCTGATATCAGTGATTCCCATGGGTGTTCCATTGATTTACCCGTATACCTTGCTGTTGAAGGTGAAGGGGGTTGTGAGGCACAGATTCAGACACAGAAATAACAAACAGGACAGAACACCAATGCTTCACCAGAGGCATACTGATGATGTTACCTAGTATGGTGACGAAACATCTGTAAACAAACTTACCAGCTCGGCAAGCAAGTCAACAAACACACATACTAGGATACCTGGCCAATTGTTTGCTGTTTTCTGCCTCCCTCATTTTTTGAATTAAGATGTTCCATTAAGATGTTACAATCCTCCCAGAATTGAAGGAATTTTGGAAGGCGATAGCCAATGCATCGACCATCTGGGCTGACACATCTTTTAAGAAACAGGCCATCTGGTCCAGTGGACTGGTCAGTATTTAGGCCGAATAGTTTTCCCTGGTATTGGTGGTTGTTTCAGGTTCATCTTTCCCCATCACCTTCTTGATGTTCAATTTTTTTTTTTTTAAAAAACATGTTTCCTAAGGCTTTACCATGAAGACAGACACATAATATCTACTCAAACCCTCTGCCATTTCCTTGTTTCCTATGACCAATTCCCCATATTCTCTCTCTCTCTTTAGGACCAACACTAGCTTCAGTTATTCATTTTCTGTTCAAATACTTGTAGAATCCCTCTATAGTTAGAATGAGAGAAAATTAGCTGGTGTTTTATATGTGTTTTCTGCCTCTCTTTTCATCATTTCTTGCTGGCTCTTAAAGTCTGGATTTCTAACAGAGGATGACCCTATGGAGGTTTATAAAATCATGATGGGCATAGACAAGGTGAACAGTAAGGTGAACGTCTTTTCCCCAGGCTAGGGGAATTCAAAACTAGGGGGCATAGTTTTAAATCTTCCTCCTCTCACCTTAAAAGGGATCTGGAGGGGTAACTTTTTCCACAGAGGGTGGTTTGTATGTGGAATGAGCTGCCAGAGGAAGTAATAGATGCACGTACCATTACAACATTTAAAAGACATTTGGACAGGTACATGAATAGGAAAGGTTTAGAGGGAATTGGGCTAAACGCAGGTAAATGGGACTAGTTTAGTTAGGAAATTTGTTTGGCATGGACAAGTTGGACCGAAGGGTCTGTTTCCACGTTGTATGACTATGACCCTAGAGCTGGGCAGTGACATGAGTAAATTGTACAGAGAATGTCTGGTCTGATGGGAATTGACCCGGGATTAGGCTGCATACTTCAAGTAGTAGTATATGGTCACAGGATTCAGGGAAGGAGGAGACCATTGTGTTTACTCTGCCTCTCCAAATGAGCAATTTACTCCTCTCCTCCTGTAGATTCCTCCTTTTCAAACAACTGTCCTTTTTAAATTCTTCAGTTGAACCCAGCTCCACTATACTCTGAGGCAGTAGAATCTAGACCCTATCCACTTACTGAGTGAAAATATTTCTTCCTACCAAGAGAGTCAGCTGATGATTGACCCTGAAGAGATGCAAAATGGAGACATGGGGATTACAGGGTGCAATGTCCCAGATTTAATTGATGTACTTGGAGCCATTTTTGTTTTATCCCCATCTTCAGTTTTGTCCTGTCCCCTCACTGCTCCTTTGGGCCCAGAACATCCCTTCACCTTCCACAGAGGGGTACAAACACTTGCGATATGCTGACAACGCAGCGCTACTTGCAGAATTAGAAGAGGCCCTAAAAACTATTGGAGGTCAAATAAAATCTCTCAATTCAGAATGTGGATTGAGTATCAGCACCAATGGTGCAGGAATATTTTTGCTATTTACATTACTTGGAGCGATCCAATTTACTGCTGTCTTAAACATCAAATAAATACATTAGTGTGTAGAGTTGGATGAACACAGCAGGCCAAGCAGCATCAGAGGAGCAGGAAGGCTGACGTTTCAGGCCTAG